GGGTCCCCCACAGAAGTGCAGAAGATTCAGCTTTCTCCGTTGCACGCTTCTTCCAAAATGGCGGTGTACTCAATAACTACTACATGTACCATGGAGGAACCAACTTTGGTCGCACAGCAGGAGGCCCCTATATACTACATGTACCATGTATTTAAATTGACTTTTAAATATGGGTATTCAAACATTTTACATTTAAAAACCGGTTCTTAAGGTTTCAAAGCAATTTAAACTGGTTTATGGAAAATTTCTATTTGGCTTAAGAAATTTTATCCTAACACTATATATATATAATCTTTTTATGCTCTTTTCGTTTATCTCTTGTATTTTTTCTTGTCTCTCTCTTTCATCTCTTATACTCTATTTTTTTCTCTCTCTCTATAGCTTTTATCTCTTTTCTTTCTCTTATATCTCTTTGGTCTCCTCTCACTCAGTCCTATTTCTCTTTTCTCTTTATCTTTCCCTCTTTTTATTTTATTTTCTCTCTTTTTTTCTTCTTTTTATCTCTCACCTCTCTTTAAAAGTCGACATAAAAACATTTTAAATATTTAAAAATATTTTTCAATTATTAAATATTATCTAATATCAACTTTTAAAATCATTAAACATTTAAAAATTGACTAATATTTATTTTTATAAAATTTAATTTTAAAATCTAAATATTTATAAGAAATTACTCTAGTGAAAATATCCTAACTAAGAATTTAAAATCTAAGAAATTTGAATTAATTTATCCAAATAAAATATTAAAAAAAATGATACAAATTGAAAATAAAATAATTTAAAATTAATTTTTTTTAATTCTTTAAATTTTTAAAATTTTTTCCTCCAAATACACCATAAAAGATTCTACAACTGAGATACAAACATTTATCAAATGCAGTAATCGTCCCACGTTGGTGATGCAGGATTCTTCAGTTTATGATCCATTCTATAAAAGAAAGAAACATGAGTAAATAAAAAGATGGAAATAGTTTTAAATATTTGTGAAGTGTGTGTGCTCGAAGTGTGTAACCCAATAGATGGTTTAAAGTATTTGGACCCAATTGCTTAGACCGCTAAGGTTTTTGTGATTATGATTGGTAAGACAAAATATAATCCTTCTTTTTGTAAAGGTGGCTTGATTAATCTTTGTTGGTATCAATATACATTATTCTAATATAGATATCGGTTAATTATAATTTTCAAAATAATCTAAGTTAACACCAGTCATACATGTCGTCACAACTATACATCTAAAGGAGACACATCACTTAACCATACATTTTGATACAAAATCATCAAGGGAGCGTCATCAAACTTAATTGTTCATTTTATTTTATGACAAAAATTTATTTGTTATTATTATAATTTTTCAATCAAAATTAAAGTTTTATTTTAGTAATACGTATTTATATTTAATATATATTTGATTAATATATATTTATGCAAATTACTAACGTAAAATTTTAACTTTAATTAGAAAGTAATACTAACTACATCTATGAAATCGTATTTAAATTTTGTTCTTATTTTTTTTTCTATAATAAATTAATATTAAAAATTAAATTTTACTACCTACATTCTTATATATAAGATCCGATTACCTAATTCATCAAGATTAATAAAGTAGTTAATTTAGTTAATAACTATAAATTTGTCATATATATATA